ACCTTTTGGTTAGCAGCTGAGCTCTTAACCACTGTGCCACCAGTGGGGGAAATTCCGGAAAGGTGGGTGAGACACAATTCTGAACGATGTCAGATGAAAAGTCAGGTGTTGAGAGTGATTTGTAGATGGCAAGAAGCCACTATGTGCCTTATGTGCTGGGGAAATTACATGAATATGAAAATTGTTTTCTGGGACAGCGAATCTGAGGTTGATTTGTAAAATGAAGCACAGTGGTGACTAGTAAAGAGTACAGACGTGAATCTTGACACGTGAGGTAATAAAAACCAAAACCTAGGGTTATGAAGTTAGGGGGTGGAAAATAAGAGAATTTCAAAACAATAGTAATTGTTGTAAATGTAAATGCTTTCTGTGTGTTAAAAATTATGTGACAGGCCACTCAACCCTCACAAAAACCCTGGATGGACCAAACACTGAAATATGAGACAGTGCAGGTTCAGTGAGGTTAAGTAAAAAGAAAGAAAGAAACCTTTGCCATCAAGTTGATTGTGGCTCATGGCGACCCCATGTATACAGAGCTGAACTGCTCCACAGGGTTTTCAAGGCTGTGAGCTTTTAGAAGCAGAACACCAGGCCTTTCTTCCTTGGTGCCTCTGGGTGGATTCGAACTGTCAACATTTAGCTTAGTAGCCGAGTGCAAACTGCTCGTACCATCTAGGGACCTCAGTTTAAGTAGTTTGCCTGCAGTCACCCTTCAGAAATTCAAACCCAGATCTGTGGAAGCCTCGGGCTGTGCCACCACATTGCTCCACCTCAAATAGGTCGGTGCATACAGCAGACGCATGCTGGCTCCAACAAGTGTGGAGAAAGTGTATAACTTTAAGATCTTCACATCTGACGGGTGTCTCATGGATGTGGTAGAGTCAGGAGGAAGAAGAACAGTTAAGTGTATAAAAAAAACTGAGGTCTCATTTGTCCCCATTTGTAAGCTAACTCCTATTAGACAATGTTGCCAAAAATCACCCCAACACTGAAGCTAGACTTTCCTGAAGGCCACTGTCTTATTTAATGAAACCAATAAAGATGTCCAATGTGAGTTCTCTGAAGGACGGACTATTGGGAGTTTTATTCCCTGAAAGGATGTTGATATCTGTGGTAGACTGAATAATACCCCCCCAAAAGATATATCCTAAACCCTGGAGCTTATGAATGTTACTTATATGGCATAAACAGACTTTGCAGATGTGATTATGGATCTTGAGATTACTACCCTGTATTATCCATTCAGATCACAAGTGTCCTTATAAGAGAGAATGTGAGGGAGATTTGACCCAGACAGGAAAGGTCATGTGACCATGGAGGTAGCGATCGGAGTGATGCAGCCACAAGCCAAGGACTGCCAGCAGCTACCAGAAGTTGGAAGTGGCAAGGAATAGATTCTCCTGCAGAACCTCTAGAGCGAGCATAGCCCTGCCAACACCTTGATTTCAGACTTCTGGCCTCCAGAACTGTGACAGAATACATTTTCTTTCTTTTAAGCCACCTAGTTGTTGGTAATTTGTTACAGCAGCTATAAGAAATGAGTACAATACCTAAATGACATTATCACACCAGCTGTCATCCAGTCAAATCCAACTCATGGCAATCCCATGTGTGTCAGAGTAGAACTGTGCTCCATAGGGTTTTCGATGGCTGATTTTTTTTTTAGGACTAGATCACCAGGCCTTTCTTCTGAGGCACTTCTGGGTGAACTCAAACCTCTAACCTTTCACTTAGCAGCCAAATGCATTAACCATTTGCATCAACCAGGGACTCCAAAATGGCACTGTTATTGTGGTGAGCCATGGAGTCGCCCAGACTCACAACTGAACGAAACACTGCCTGGTCCTGTGCCATCCCTGTGATTGGTTGCATAGGGTCTTCATTGGCTAATATTTTGGAGTAGATTGCCAGGCCTTTCATCCTAGTCTGTCTTAGTCTGGACTTTCTGCCAACACCTGTTCAGCATCATAGCAACACGCAAGCCTCCACTGACAGATGGGTAGTGGCTGTACCTGAGGTGCGTTGGCTGGTAATGGAACCCACGTCTCCCACGTGGGAGGCGAGAATTCTGCCAGTGAACCACCAAAGCAGCCAAAAACCACAAACACCCTGCAAGTCTGATAATATACCATTGGATTATATCCTTGGTAAAGGGAAAGGAGAGGGAGTGGTTACTTCTCTCTCAGAAATAATTGGAGGGGATTTGAACGGACCTTGGAAAGCGTAGGATACTGTGATTTCTCAGGCTTTGTTTCCTCCGTGTGCGGGCTGTTTCACAGGAATTCTTTCCACGCTGGCCACGTTGGTTGCCACTGTTGCAGGTTTGACTGGCGTTAAGATGTTAGAACGGACAAAATAAATGAGCGCCAATAAAACGGCGAAGTGTTCTGCTAGGAAGTCACTGAGCCAATGCAATGGTTTATAGCAGCGTGATGAAAGCGAATAATTGGATACTGTGATGAATTTGAGGTATGACAATTTTGATGATCTTGGGATTATAGGTGGTAAGTGTTACACGGTGACACCAGGTTCCTTTTGCCCATAGGCTCGGTGGGACGGCTTGACTGGACGTATCACCTTCAATAAAACCGATGGCTTAAGGAAGGATTTTGACTTGGACATCATTAGTCTCAAAGAGGAAGGAACTGAAAAGGTAATCTCCTGAGTAATCAATAAACAAATAAAATGAAGAGCACTCTCAAGCAGTGTACGTACAAATTACACATACAAGCAGGGATATTGCATGTACAAGTGGGGAAATGATAATAGGATTCTTCCAGTGTGTTCCTTTATGTTCAGTTTTCTAGATCTCTCTCCTTCATCTTCAAACAGATGTTCATGGGCCAGATTCTTAAATTGTGCTTCCGTGGTCATGGTCATGATGTTAACATTATGTTATTAACATTTATACAGTGCTTGATTTAGAAGGCAAGTGAGCATGTATTATCACACTCATAAGCCTATGAGGGGTGTCCTCAGCCCCACCTCTCAAAGGTTTTGAGAAGCCGAGTGCAGACTTGGAAAAATCAGAAGTTGTCAACGGTTTACCGATGGAATGGCATCCAATGGCTACTTAGAAATTAATAGCAAGCGTGTAACCAACGTCCTTGAACCGTTCATGTAGAAATTGTGAATGGATGGATCTTTGGCTGTGTACATTGGCACCAAAGATAAATTAAATATTTTAAGAAAAAGAGAAATTAATTGCAATGCATGCCATTTGAGATTGGTGGCAGAATGAAGCATGATAGGAAGGAGTTACGAGGGCAAATTCATTCTACATCCCTAATTTTAGGACAACTGCTAAAAAATGTATTTCAATATTGGGTTCCCTTTTTAGGATTATTTTCTTGTAATTCTCAATCTGTCAAAGTTTAAAGTTCCATTTAAGCTACTATTTAGAGTAATGCAAATGTAAACTATCTACTTAAATAATATCATAATAATAATAAAAGAATTCGGCTTCTCAGTATATGACAACATGCTGATTTTTTTATTCACAACTATAAACCAGAAAACCAAACCCGTTGCTATCAGGTGGATTCCGACTCCTAGCGACCCTATAGGACAGAGTGGAACTGCCCCATAGGGTTTCCAAGGAGCAGCTGAACTTGAACGGCCGATCTTTTTTGTTAGCAGCCGAGCTCTTAACCACTGCGCCACCAGGGCTCCATTCACAAATACAAGATAGAATTAACACTTACGGCTTGAAGATTTAGCCCTTTAAAACGCTTGAAAAGAAAGATTCTGAAACGCCCAAAACAATCGTCCAGGCATCCCAGCTCTATAATCCAACATTTTTTTCCCCTGCAGTGGAGAAGACAGTGCCCTTAATATAAATGAGTGGGTTTGGGGAGAATTGACTGCTTCCTTAATAGTTGCACTGATTCTTAAAATGAGGTTCTCATTTCTGTTTTGTTGCTTTTATTAACTGGGACACAGTCCCCCACCTCCAGGTAATAACTACCTCCCCCCCACCCCCCCGGCAAATAGCAGTAATTGAAACAAAGACTAATTAGGCTGACTGTAATAGAAGGTGGTCACTGATGTTGACACATTGGGGGAAACAATTAGTTTGCAGCTTTGAGACGATTCATTATACATACAGGTTTCCCCTTTCAAAAATTCTCCCTCTCTCTCTTCTTAACTTCTTGCCTGTCTGTAGGTTTAATAAGCTCTGGCAGAGCCCCGTCATCCACCCAGCCTCCACAGTGGGGGGTGGGATGTGGGCTGCAGGGTCTGGCAGAGCCCCCTCATCCACCCAGCCTCCACAGTGGGGGGTGGGATGTGGGCTGCAGGGAACAAAAGGAAAGAAGGAATGCTTGTTATGGACTAAAAGCACATAATGGGTTTTTGTCTTTTTTGTGTTTTTTTTTTTAAGAAAATGTCTGCTTCTCTATGAACATCCCTTCCTCCCCGCCCTTAATGTGCAGAAGTGAAGGGGGAAGAAAAGCTGTTAAGGAAACGTGTTTTGGGCTCAGATGGGCAATGACTTTGACGGCGTTATTGTTACGCTTTCACTGCTATTTATACTCCGCAATGTTATGCACACTTTACCCGTGTTTTTCCATCA